AAACTTTCATTAAAATAAAAGCGATTTATTTACATGGATTGACCAAAACAACCAAAATCGATCAGAGCATTCATAACTGACACTTTACTTACATGTCAACATACTATACACGACAAAATACATACTTTATCAGTTACTTCTGATCTGATCCGCTAGCAGTGTTGTTGTTCTTGCCACCCTATTTTCGCACTTCCTGATTCTTGGTACCTACGTGTAAATCACTTACACGCTAAGTCACAGACTTAGTGAGGCATAACATAAATGTATGCATTCACATGTATAACCATGAATTTATGAACATGTGTTCTTACCATGAATCAGGACATTTCAATGTTAATGTATCGATTACACTATAACATATATGATGATAACATGTACATATAACACATACATTCTCATGCCAATTCCACTTTAATTTATCTTTGGATTGCCCATGTACATTATTGAGAACAAAGGTATGTGTGTACATAGAGATTATGCACTATGCTGTCACCACAGCTCGTATAATTCCCTCAAGGGGCACTGAATATTTGTCCCAAATGACCACTATGTCCCGAAGGACCACTAATTGTTCCGGTCCCGAAGGACCACTGATAATCCCTCGACTCATGGCATGCCAATTATACCTATAACTCTCGTATCATATAACATGGGCTTAAATATGAATACATTTTTCATTTCATATCTCTTTCATCACTTTTCATATAAATACATATAATCATTTCCATTAATCCACATACCTGAATTGTTTCTCTTGTAATGTCATTCGTTCACATAATATCATATTGAAGCATAATGAATTATGCATGAAATCACTATAGAAATAATACATGTATGCATGTACATGAATATGAAATCATGAATTCAACTATCAGAGATAGACTTATCACAAGTCTTATCTCTATATACTTTAACTATAAAATGCACTCACCTTGGCCTTGCTTGTTTCGACTTGATCCTAATCCTTTGTTTGTTCCGGAACGAAATTATGTTCTATATCTACATATTAATACATTGATACTAATCAGTCTATTAATTAATATATTCTAAACTATCACTCATTAGGCTAAAAAGAAAGCTATTTCCAACTTTTAATGATAGTATGCATCGATGCATCCCTTGATAGGTGCATCGATGCACTACCTATGCATCGGTGCATAAATCCCATTCGATGTTTGTATTTTAAACGAGTGCATCGATGCACTCCTTATGCATCGATGCATTAATGGCATTCGATATTCATTATTTAAGAGTGCATCGGTACACATTGAATGTGCATCGATGCACACAACCCATAAATTGTATTTTAAACCCGAAAATCATCACTTCTTCACTCAATTCCTCTATTTTAAACCCCTATCATGTCATTAAACCCAACCATTATTACTTAAACCAACTTATATCCATGAAAATCATCTTTAACCTCAAAATCATATCCTTCATATATAATTCAAGAATCATACCCAAAGTTCAATATGTTATAAATACACTTCAAATTCCTTGATTAAGTCGATGACAAGTCAAATTCAACCTCCAATTTCAAATATTAACTCTATTTCAAAATTCCCTTTAAGAACTCATAATCTTTAATTCTTTTTACACCCTTCATCTTGTTGTTTTACAACAACCTAAGCTTTCCTTAAGCTTAATTAGCATCTAAGGAGCAAAACCAAACTTAAATTTCAACTAACAAACAACTTATAAGAAATCTCACCTTTGCTATGAGTTTTCACGTTGGGAAGAAAGAAGAGAAGAAGAGAATTCTGGAAGCTTATGTTTTTCTTCCTTCTTCCATGTGTAGCTAAAATAAATATATCTATTCTTTAATTATTTCTCATGTAAATGACCATTTTACCCTTTTATTCATTATTCCTTGTAATTTAACCCTATATCCATTACAATACTATTCAATTATTATGCTTTAGTAACCAAATTCTGAAGTTTTAGAATTTAGTCATTAACCCGATATTGAGGTTGTTACAAATCTCCCCCTTAAGAAAATTCGTCCTTAAATTTTCATTATGCGAAGAGATGGGGATACTGAATCCTCATGTCCTCTTCACGTTCCTATGTTGCTTCCTCTATCTTGTGATTCTGCCATAATACTTTAACTAATGGAATGGTCTTATTTCTTAATTGCCTAACCTCGTAAGCTAAGATTTTAACCGGTTCTTCTTCATAAGTCAAATCCGGTTAGACCTCAACCTCTTCTGAAGTCACGATGTGGGAAGGATCAGATCGATACTTCGGAAGCATTGAGACATGAAAGACATTGTGAATTTTCTCCATTTCAAGTGGCAACGTCAGTTGATATGCTACTGGTCCAACTCTCTTTACGATCTCATAAGGTCCAATGAACTGAGGACTCAACTTTCCTCTTCGACCAAACCTCAAAACCTTCTTCCAATGAGACACTTTGAGAAATACTTTATCTCTAATTTGATATTCGATCTCTTTTCTCTTTAGATCCGCGTATGATTTTTGTCTATCAGCTGCTGCTTTGAGATTACTTTGAATTACTTGAACCTTTTCTTCCACTTCTTTAATCAACTCCGGACCAATAATTTCTTTATCTTTAAATTCGAACCAATTTAGAGGCGTACGACATCTTCTTCCATAAAGAGCTTCATAAGGAGCCATTTTGATGCTTGATTGATAACTATTGTTGTACGCAAATTCAGCAAGTGGCAAGTACCTTTCCCATGATCCTTTGAACTCAATAACACAAGCTCTCAACATATCCTCCAAAATTTGAATTGCTCTCTCAGATTACCCATCGGTTTGTGGATGAAATGTTGTACTAAAGTTTAACTGAGTTCCCAACGCTCCATGTAATGATTTCCAAAATCGTGAAGTAAATTTAGGATCTCGATCTGAAACAATAGAAACATGTACACCATGTAGACGTATAATCTCTTTTATATATAACTCGACATACTTATCCACAGAAAATTCAACTCGTACTGGAATAAAATGAGATGACTTAGTCAATCTGTCTACAATAACCCATATCGAATCTCTTTTATTCGGAGTCAAAGGCAACCCCGTTACCAAATCCATTGTTACATTCTCCCATTTCCACTGAGGAATAGACACAGGTTGCAACAGTCCTGACGGAACTTGATGTTCAGCTTTAACTTGCTGACACGTCAAACATTTGGATACAAATTACGTAATGTCCCTCTTCATTCCAGGCCACCAATATCGACTCTTGAGATCCATATACATTTTGTTTCCTCCCAGATGTATAGTCAATGGACTGCAATGAGCTTCCGTTAACAAGTCTTTCTTTAATTCATTATCATCTGGAATTACCAACCTCCCTTGATAATATAAGTTCCCATCAGCTTTCATTACATAATCTGTGGCCTCTCCATTCCTTATCTGCTGTAACTTCTTTAAACACTTTTCATCTCCCGCTTGCAATTCTTTAATTCGGTCTAGCCATGATGGCTTGAGAGTCAATTTCGCACATGGCGCCATCTCTTCTTAATGATAGTCTGGCATCCAAAGCTCTTAAGGCTGTAAACGTTTTTTGACTTAAGGCATCCGCTACCACATTCGCTTTCCCCGGATGAAAATCAATCACTACATCATAATCCTTTAAGAATTCCACCCATCTTCTATGTGTTAAATTCAATTCTTTCTGAGTCATTAAATACTTTAAACTCTTATGGTCCGTATACAAGTAGCATCGTTCGCCATACAAGTAGTGACGCCAGATCTTAAGAGCGAACACTACTACAACCATTTCTAGATCGTGCGTTGGATAATTCTTCTCGTGCGGTTTTAGTTGCCTCGATGCATACGCTACCACTTTACCTTCTTGCATTAGCACACATCCCAATCAGTTATGAGACGCATCACTGTACACTACAAAGTTCTTGTCAGACTCGGGTTTAATCAACACTGAAGCTTCTGTTAAAACCTTTTTCAGCCTTTCCAAACTTTCTTGACACTCCGGAGTCCATACAAATTTTACCTCTTTCCTCAATAATTTAGTTAGGGGTAATGCTATTATCAAAAAGTTTTTAACAAACCTTCGGTAATAACCAGCTAACCCCAGAAAACTCCGAACTTCTGACACATTCTTTGGAATTTCCCACTCTAAAATAACTTTAATCTTTTGAGGATCTACTCAAATTCCTTCAGCAGAAATCACATGTCCAAGGAATGCCACTTCCTTCTACCAAAATTCACATTTGGAGAGCTTGGCATAAAGCTTCTTTTCTCTCAAGGTCTGTAGAACTGTCTTCAAATGCGAACGATGCTCTTCTTCTGACTTTGAATACACTAATATATCGTCAATGAATACCACAACAAATCGATCCAAATAAGGTTGAAATATTCGATTCATAACATCCATGAAAGCAGCCGAGGCATTCGTAACTCCAAACGGCATCACAATAAACTCATAATGACCATACCTCGTTCTGAATGTCGTCTTTGGAATATCTTTATCTTGAATCTTCAATTGATGATAACCAAAACGTAAATCAATCTTCAAAAACACTGAAGCTACCTTTAACTAATCAAATAAATCATCAATTCGGGGGAGTGGATACTTGTTCTTGATGGTCACTTTATTGAGTTGCCTATAATCAATGCAAAGACGCATGGATCCATCATTCTTTTTGACGAACAAAACTGGAGCTCCCCATGGTGAGACACTTGGTCTGATAAACCCTTTGTCCAATAATTCTTGTAATTGAATCCTTAATTCTTGTAACTCTTTTGGGGCCATTCTGTATGGTGACATGGCAAGAGGTGCAGTTCCCGATATTACTTCAATCTGAAATTCTACCTCTCTGTCGGGTGGCAAACCCGGTAACTCTGCAGGAAAAATGTCAGAAAACTCTCTGACTGTAGGAATTTCTTCTATCCCTTTCTCTTTTGCTCTCACATCCAACACACTTGCAATAAACCCTTGACATCTCTGTAGCAATAACTTCTTTGCCGACATCACTGATATTACATTAGCCAATGGGTTCCATCATTCACTAAATACAATAACCTTTATACCTTCTGAACTTTTCAACGTTACTCTTTTCAGTCTACAGTCAACATTAGTATAGTAATGATATAACCAATCCATTCCCAGTATCACCTCGAATTTGACAAAAGGTAATTCCATCAGATTAACAGAGAATTCAATTCCCTGAATCCGTATGGGACACCCGCAACACACCATATTGACTCGAGCACTGCGTCCTAACGGATTAGTCACTATTACCTCATTGCTAGTAGATTTTAACGGAATATTCAATTCTTTCACGAACTTACTAGAAATGTAAGAATATGTGGACCTCGTATCAATCAATACAAACACATCCTTGTCATACAACTGAAAAATACATGCTTTGATCTCTAAGTCATCTCTATCCTCGCTAGTCCTGAGATTATACACACGAGCTGCAGAATGTATTTCTTGCGGAGCTGACGACTCTGATTTACTTCTTCCTCTGCCTCTACCTCTCTGTGTAGTCGAGGCGGACTTCTCTGGCTGAGCAAATTCACCCGCTAACATGGGACAATCCTGAACAAAATGTCCAGTGTCCCCACATTTAAAACAAGCTCCAAAAATCATCCTGCATATCCCCGAATAGTTCCTTTCACAATGTGGACATTGTCGGACTTGGCTCGGGTTAGATATCCCAGCTCTAGATCCCATTGATTGTGTCTGTCGATCCCTCATCCGATTTGATCCCCTTGCAGAGCATGCAACTGACTTTGAGCTCATTTGGGGTCGAAGACCAGTATCTCTACCCCTTTTTGATGGTGTTAAACTCGATGATGCACCTGTTCTTTTTTATTTCTGAGCCCGCGAATCTCTGAACCTTTCATTCTGAGCTCTTTTTAGAGCTTTAGCATGGTTCACCACTTCTTGAAATGAGGATAGATTTAACACAATTAGCATTTCCATCAGACTTGGACGTAAACCTTCTACGAACCAATCACAAATATCCTTTTATGTAGGAATTAACTCAGCAGCGAAGCGGTTCAACTTGTTGAATTCACATTCGTACTCATACACTGTATGATTCCATTGCTTCAAGTTCATGAACTCTTGCTTCATTTGTCGGATGAATTGATCTCCAATGTATTTATGTTTGAACTCTTCTAAGAACAAAGACTAATGTTACTTGATCACCAGATATTCTCAATGTAATGTTGGTCCACCAAATCCTTGCTTGCCCTCGGAGCAAGGAGATTATTCCATCCAACTTTTCTGGATTGGAACAATGAAGTCCCTCTAGCATGATTTTTACATCATTAAGCCAAATGTCCGCATTAACAGGACCTTCTTCGGCTTCACCTCTAAACTCTTATGCTCCTAAACCCTTCAACTCCTTTGCAACATTTATTCTTGGAATTGAAGTAACAGAAGGTTGAAAATGCACCAATACCGCGTCCAGTATTCTGAAGAACACATCTTGATCATTTACAAACACTCCAGAGGGTGCCTGATCTTCACTCTGCCTGGCCAGGGCAGGTGAATTACTGCTTTCAGCGGGCATATCATCTCCCGCTTCACTTTTAGAGCTACCATGTCCGGACATATATAAAAATATATGCATATCATTATATCAGTAAAACATCATACTTACTATTATATCAGATCAGAAGTTTTCACTATTTTGTTGGCATGTGTACTTTATAAGACACTCTAGACTTCGGTTTATGCCGAGAATCGACTAAACCATAGCTCTGATACCATTAAATATAACATCCCAACCCGTATCCAACTCGAATACGAGTCTGAGGTGTCACATTGACTTTTCAACTTTGACACTTAAAGAAAACAGAGAAATTTAAAACTTTCATTAAAATAAAAGCGATTTATTTACATAGATTGACCAAAACAACCAAAATCGATCAGAGCATTCATAACTGACACTTTACTTACATGCCAACATACTATACACGACAAAATACATACTTTATCAGTTACTTCTTATCTGATCCGCAAGCAATGTTGCTGTTCTTGCCACCCTATTTTCGCACTTCCTGATTCTTGATACCTATGTGTAAATCACTTACATGCTAAGTCACAGACTTAGTGAGGCATAACATAAATGTATATATTCACATATATAACCATGAATTTATGAACATGTGTTCTTACCATGAATAAGGACATTTCAATGTTCATGTATCAATTACACTATAACATATATGATGATAACATGTACATATAACACATACATTCTCATGCCAATTCCACTTTAATTTATCTTTGGATTGCCCATGTACATTATTGAGAACAAAGGTATGTGAGTACATAGAGGTTGTGCACTATGCTATCACCACAGCTCGTATAATTCCCTCAAGGGGCACTGAATATTTGTCCCGAAGGACCACTATGTCTCGAAGAACCACTAATTATTCCGAAGAACCACTATATCCCGAAGGACCACTGATAATCCATCGACTCTTGGCATGCCAATTATACTTATAGCTCTTGTATCATATAACATGGTCTTAAATATAAATACATTTTTCATTTCATATATCTTTCATCACTTTTCATATAAACACATATAATCATTTCCATTAATCCACATACCTGAATTGTTTCTCTTGTAATGACATTCGTTCACATAATATCTTATTGAAGCATAATGAATTATACATGAAATCACTATAGAAATAATACATGTATGTACATGAATACGAAATCATGAATTAAACTATCAGAGATAGACTTATCACAAGTCTTATCTCTATACACTTTAACTATAAAATGCACTCACCTTGGCCTTGCTTGTTTCGACTTGATCATAATCCTTTGTTTGTTCCGGAACGAAATTATGTTCTATATCTACATATTAATACATTGATACTAATCAGTCTATTAATTAATATATTCTAAACTATCACTCCTTAGGCTAAAAAGAAAGATATTTCCAACTTTTAATGATGGTATGCATCGATGCACTACACCATGTATCGATGCATCCCTTGACAGGTGCATCGATGCACTACCTATGCATCGGTGAATAAATTCCATTCGATGTTTGTATTTTAAACGAGTGCATCGATGCACTCCTTATGCATCGATGCATTAATGGCATTCGATGTTCATTATTTAAGAGTGCATCGGTACACATTGAATGTGCATCGATGCACACAACCCAAAAATTGCATTTTAAACCCGAAAATCATCAATTCTTCACTCAATTCCTCTATTTTAAACCCCTATCATGTCATTAAACCCAACCATTATTACTTAAACCAACTTATATCCATGAAAATCATCTTTAACCTCAAAATCATATCATTCATATATAATTCAAGAATCATACCCAAATTTCAATATGTTCTAAATACACTTCAAATTCCTTGATTAAGTCGATGACAAGTCAAATTCAACCTCCAATTTCAAATATTAACTCTATTTCAAAATTCCCTTTAAGAACTCATAATCTTTAATTCTTCCTACACCCTTCATCTTGTTGTTTTACAACAACCTAAGCTTTCCTTAAGCTTAGTTAGAATCTAAGGAGCAAAACCAAACTTAAATTTCAACTAACAAACAACTTATAAAAAATCTCACCTTTGCTATGAGTTTTCTTGTAGGGAGGAAAGAAGAGAAGAAGAGAATTCTGGAAGCTTATGTTTTTCTTCCTTCTTCCACGTGTAGCTACAATAAATATATCTATTCTTTAATTATTTCTCATGCAAATGACCATTTTACCCTTCTATTCATTCTTCCTTGCAATTTAACCCTATATCCATTACAATACTATTCAATTATTATGCTTTAGTCACCAAATTCTGAAGTTTTACAATTTAGTCAATAACCCAGTATTGAGGCTGTTACATTGAAATTTTACAAAACCGGTTCCAGTTTGACAAAACAGGATACGAATTTGAAAAAATTGATTGGAAATTTACAAAACCAGTTTTAATTTAACAAAACCAGTAAAGAGCTAATGAAATTGTTGAAATTTGTATCGATACGTTTATAATTATATGTACCAAAGTATCAGTAATGTAGGAATTTAAAAAAATTACAATAATAGTGGCTATAAAGTATTGATACCTTACACACATGTATCGATACATGACAATATAACATATTGAAATTTGACAAAATTGATTTTAATTTGAAAAAAAAGGTTAAAGATCTATCGAAATTGTTGAAATTTGTATCGATACGTTTATAAGTATGTGTACCCTAGTATTGGTACTTTAGGAATGTAAAAGAATTGTAATAATAACGGCTATAAAGTATCAATATCTTAGACACATGTATTGATACGTGACAATATAACATGTTTAAATTTGATAAAACCGGTAAAGAGCTACCGGAATGGTCAAAATTTGTATCGATACTTTTATAAGTATAAGTACTAAAGTATCGGTACTTTACGAATTTAAAAGAATTGCAATAATAACGCCTATAAAGTATCGATATCTTAGACATATGTATCGATACATGACAATATAATAGGTTGAAATTTGACAAAATCGTTTCAATTTAACAAAACCGGTAAAGCACTACTGGAATTGTTGAAAGTATCGATACATTTATAAGTATATGTACCATAGTATCGGTACTTTAAGAATTTAAAAGAAATTAAAAAAGAAAAACGTCTCGAAAGTATCGATACCTTACACGAAAGTATCGATACATGGGGAATGGTATCGATTAAATATAAATAACATAATCAGTTAAAATATCAAAGGCATTGCTAACAGAGAATTTGAAGGGGAATTACATTCTAGGAAATAGATAAAAGACGGTCGTAGTTTTTAAAATCGAAGCGTATTAGTTGCAGCGAAATAGAAGCAATGCTTTTTTTAAAAGCGTAGTTGTTTGTTGCTGTAATTGAATCGAAAGGTATGTTCTCAAAACCCTAGTTTTTAGTATTGTAGTATTCAAAAATAAGGGTTAGGTTTTAGGGTTTGGGGTTTTCAAAATAAAAAAGGATTTGGAACCGATTATAGGTAGAAACTGATATTCTATGTAGAAAATAAATATCAATACATTTATATAACGTTATAGGTAGAAATTGATGTTGTAGGTTGTATAAAGGTACCGATACTTGTATTAGATAATATTCTCATTCCTTTGAATGCAAGCGGTTACTATATGATTAGTTATCAATACTTGTATATTGAATAAACTGCATGTAACTTGTATTTGATTTGATTTAATTTAATGCTTGAATGTTCATAACCTGATATATGAAGGAAAAATGAAGTCAATGAATCTCGCAATTGTTCTTCGCGAAGATGACATTGAAATGAAGCCCGAGATTATCAACAATGAAGAAAATCGAAAGCAACCATTAGGGGTGTATTCGGTTCGGTTCGGTTCGGTTTTTTACCAAAAACTGAACCGAACCGAAATAAACGGTTTTTCAATATTTAAACCGAAACCGAAACCGAATAGTTAAAAAACCGAAAAAACCGAAACCGGTTTTTTTGGTTCGGTTCGGGTTTTTTAACGGTTCGGGTTTTTCGGTTCGGTTCGGTTTTTCAATGAAAAAATCACTTGAAACTATAATTTTTTTTACAAAAATTGCCTATTCGGTTTAATATGGAACAAATGGGTTCCATATGGAAAACCCGAACCGAACCGAATCAAAAAAATGAAGCCTTTAAACCGAACCGAAAACCGAACCGCTTAAAGCCAAACCGAACCGAACCGAACCGTTTTACTCGGTTCGTGTCGGTTATTCGGTTTTCTCGGTTTCGTTGCTCACCCCTAGCAACCATTGGGTGGATATA